GGATTATCGTCTCCAACCGTCGGTCCCGGGTAAATCCTTTCACTGCCACTCCACTGGCAGGCTTAACACACCACAGTGTTCTTCCGGGGGGACGACGTCACAACAGCTGCAGCAAACTTCACAGTATGGAGACTGGCTGCCTCGGGTAGACTGACTCCACCTTCAACACAGTGGTCCCAGGTCGGCTCTGTAAGCAGACACGTCATCAATAACAGGGACACTAATACATCTCACTTACGGGCTTCAGATACAAACGCTTGACGTATCCAGTCCATAGATGGCGCTGTCGTCGGAGCACCACCTCACCAGAGGTCAGGAGCGGCGGTGTTGAGCGCTGAACCAGACTGGAAACTGGTCCTCGAGGCCAGTACACGCTGTCCTCACTAGGAGTCGTCGTTCGTTTGGCGGGGGTTTCGGGAGCTGACCCACAGATGGCGTGTTTGTCACTGCTCCAGGTTCGGACGCTGGATCCGGGTTCGTAACAGTCTTTACAATAGAACCAGGTGAGGTCACTGTGCTAGGAGAAGGGGGAAGTAAACCAGGCGGCCTTGGAAGGGTTCGAAATTATAGTACTCTTCATAATTTTTTTAATATATATTTCCTGCCTGTATATACTTAACTGGGTTGCTGTTCATAAAGCAAGTTTCACTCGTCGATTTGTTCCTCTCTGAAAGTTACATAGCTTGCAGAAATGCTCCATATCTCACCTGAATTTTGTGTAAAATTTCAGTTATTTAATTCCATTTTATATGTCTATCTTTTATTTGCTCTCCTTATTTGGCATGTGTTCCTCTCAAGCTTTGGTAGGTTGCATACTACGAATCTCTTCTTCTCCAACTCATGCCGTAAGCATTTCATGACTTGGGTAGTTTTTTACAGCCTCTAACACTATTATCTTCTTTCCCTCTGAACCATTTGCTGCCTCAGCACGGGTTTTATCTGGTCTTACTCCCCAAATCTCAGTTACATTCTCTATTTAATTTTTTCCTCCACACGATACTGATAGACGTGGTGGGTAGTTTCTCATCAATTATATTGTGAGGGCAGATAGTGAGGGGGGTGGGGAGTGGTCTACTCGCCATGCTGGCGTGTGATGGAGGATGGTGAAGGTATCAGGCGAGCCTGCAGATGAAGAGGAGGTCGGTGTGGTCTCGTCCGGCTGGTGTGTGAGGGAGGATGGTGAAGGTGTCCGGTGAACCCGCCTCGCACTCTCCCACTCGTCACTTCACCATGTGCTACTACACTATTTTTTCAAACATTATTTCTGCTTTGTTTCTTGAACATTTTTTTAATTTCTTTCAGTTAGCCAGATATTCGTTCACTCTTATTCACTTTTTGTTTTCGATAATTCCTGTTTATCCATCCATCCCAAAGTTTAAAAAAGAGCACTTAAAGATCACTAGCCTCAAACTCTCTTCATTGGTCAGAAATGTTGGTGAAGATCACCAGCACGATAGGTGTTGCCTCTGTGGTAGTTATCGTGAAGGAAATTATTGACACACTTTTAAAACTTAGTTTTCAGAGATACAATAAATTGACAAAGAAATCCTCCAGATCTAGGAGAGGTTAGAGCCAGGGATGAGCAGTGTTGAACCCCTCCTGACTACCCTCAGTTTGTCAGATGTGATGTTTTCCTCATATGGTATTATAGCCGGTTAGTGTGTCGGCGTTCTCTGCAGTACTGAGCAACCATCTTGTGTTCCACATGTTTTACTCGCCGAATATGTTGTTATCGCAAACGTTGAATCATAATAAGATATGATGACCAAACTACACATCACCAGATGGAGAAACAACGACGTTTCGGTCCGTCAGTTCTCTTACCACCTGTCCTCTCTCTCTTTCCTTATTCATTTGCCTGTACCTTCATCTACTCCCAACATACAGCCCCTCTCCTGTGCCGGGTAAGCCCATTACGGGCTCATCATAGCCAATGCTACTTGGAACGTCTCGTTCCGAGTAGCTAAATCTAAAACAACAACATCCTCTCCTCCAGACTCACCAACAAAGACTTCAAGCAGCAAGATGGAAAAAATAGACGAGGCTTTATCCTTACCTGACGAACTAGACCAACCTTTCAATCTGAAAGAACCCAAAAGAGCTACAAAGAAAGAGCTTTAAAGCTACTATAAACACAGCTCCAGGTGAGGACAAAATCACTTACAACATGCTGGCCAAGCTAGGAGAAAAGGGCGAAGAAGCCGTCTTGAATCTTATCAACAAAGTTTGGGTGACCAAAACGTGACCACTCTCTTGGAATTGTGCAATTATAGTTCGATTTCCTAAGCACAAAGACCCAAGACCCATCTCATTAACAAGCTGTCTGGCTAAAGACGAGACAAGAATGGCCCTTAATCGAATTGAATGAAAAGCAAATCCACTGCACTAAAATATGTTTACTAACAGAAAAGGTGTCGGAACCACAAAAGGCCTTACCTCCATCCTGGATCAAATTAATGACAAACCAGGAATCATTATTTTCTGGACCTAAAAAAAATTCTTCGAGCTAGCCAATGATCCAGCTGCATTGTGTTGCCTGGAGGATAAGGAAATCAAATGACACGCTCTTGCCTTTGACAAAGGAAGGCTGCTCAACGAAGAAGCTAATGTCAAATTTCAAGGAAAAAATGCTGCTCAAAGAGGATAGAAAATGGGACTCCGCAGGAAGTAATATTAATACCAGTTGAAGAATACTCTTCAACTGTCTCATGAAACAATTTATGAAGCTCAAGTTACCAAATGCCAAACTGCTTAACAATGCTGACGACTTTGTGGTCATCACCAATGGCAAAGACGCCAGGAACCATCCACAAAAATGCCTAGTCATCATCAGCTGGGAATCGGAATGCAATGCAGTGAAAATAAACAGCAATAAAACCAAAGCAATGATCGTAAGAATGAGAACTCAGGACATCAGACTCGCAATACAAAGACTCGAAATTGAGTGGGTTACCTCGTTTTAATACCTTTGTGCCATAATAGACAGCCAGTTGAAATTCACTCAAGAAACTGAATATCTTTGGCAACGTTGCAACACCAGAAACTCAGCTTTGCGCTCCCTGATAAGTTTTAGAGATGATGCATCTCTACCAGTACTCAAAATGTACTTCGTTCAAGCAGTTAGGTCACTCATTGACCACTCTGCTCCTGATCTTACATCCCTCAGTGATAACCAATGAGATAAATTGGAAGCGTCACTAAATGATGCTCTCAGAACAATGCTGGGAGCACCTATATGGACGCATTAAGAGAATGTAGAATGAAAACCAACTTACCAACCTTAGAAAACAGGATCAAAGAAAGAATATCTACTATAACACCAAAACTTGTTGGAACCAAGAATGCCAGACTGTCAATCAAAGACAGCATACACAGATAGCTTCATAGAAATCTTAAATATAGCACAGTGCATGGACGGATAATCTGGTCAATATTCAATAGAAATTGGACTTAAAATGGACCATTAGAAACAAAGGAGAAGATATACCATATAAACATTTTCGGCAGTCTCCTCCATGGGAAGAATTGAGTCTAAAGATAATCATTAAAGGATTACCAGTTAAAAATCAGCATGTGACTCGTAGAGGAACAAATCAATCAAAGAACAACAATCTCAAGACCGACAATAACTCATATCTACACTGGTGGATCAATTGACCAAGAAAGAGATTCTGCTGGGGCAGCAGTTTAAACTAACAACCATGAATCCTACTGGAGCATGAATAGGGGTGCTTAACATGGCAAACAGAATTATATGCCCTGCAAGAGGCCATAAATTATGCATCTGAGAATAACTTACTTGTTATCATTCATACCGACTCTAAAACTTTGCTCCAGGCATTGTTATCCAGTCAGCACAAAGATAATATACAACTCATCACAGAAATCCTACATCGTGCAAAAGAAGTACACAATCTAGGGCTGTCAATCATCCTAAATTGGATACCAAGTCACATTGGCATAGATGGTAATGAAAAGGCAGACTCACTAGCAAAAACTGCCTTTGCTCTACCTGTTGTACAGCTAAAAATTTCTCCAAGTTTTTCATAGATTAAGGAGCAACTCAATAAGAAAATACTCCCAACTATCAAACCTCGCCACAGAGCCAAAGTAGCGCAATGAAGACCTACTGCGATATAGTACGAACAAGCCACTGGGTACTCCTCTTTCAAGCCTGGCAAAAAGATATCCAGAGACATTGCAATAGCCAAACACAGACTTAGACCTGGTTACAAGTGCTGCTGGGAGGTAATAAACCCAATAGTTAAAGAGTTTCATATCTGTAGAACAGATACAGTGGCGCCGCTATTATATTACTTACTGGAATGTGAAGTAACTGCGCATCAAACTCAACATTCATCCAACAAGAGCTGATGCATTAAATGCAAAATCCACAGCAACTACAATGGTCAGAAAAGCAGTTGAAGAATGGGGACACACTAGTGAATAATGTGCGTCTATTTCCGCCACCAAGATAAAGTAAATAAAACAAAAGACTAAAACAAGAGCGTTAAAACAGAAGTGGAACAGAAAAAGAGAAGTGAGGAAACCCCACCTCCATTTCAAACTCTGACTCAAATATAACAGTAGCAAGGTTATAGGGAATAACTGAACTCAATTACGGGCTCACCATAGTTCGTACTACATTTCTAGCTGAGCAGCTAAATCTAAAACAACAAAAGGAACATACTCTTCTCAAGCACATCTCCTGTGTCAGGTAAATACGACGGGCTCATTATAGCCCATGTTGCTTGGCACTTTTTGTTCTGAGTAGCTGAATCTAAAACAACAAGCTCTCCTCATTATGGGCTCCTCACGCCCATGCCACCTCTTGGATGGCTTAATCTTCATCAATCAAACGATCCTCTTCTCTGTCACACGACTTGACATTGGTCCAAGACGGACCCAAATGTCGTCGTTTCTCCAACTTCTGATGTGTGGGTTGGTCATCATGTTGTTATAGTGTTACTGATAAGGATGTCTTTTATTTTCAAAATGAGGAAGTAGATGTGGGTGTCGGACCCTTCGGGGTAAGTGCAGCTCGAGCTGAGGTGGTGGACTTCACAAAACCTGTCCTAATAGACTACAATAGAATCCTTGGAGCTCGAGGACAGTCAGAGGTGAACCCATGGGGCTTCCTGTTCCCTCTGGAGCCGCTGGTGTGGGCGGCCATCTTGGGTGCGCTGGTGGTGCTGCCCGCTGTGACCATCCTCATGTCCGCGTGCTTCCCACTCAACACCAACGGTCATAATTACGCCTTTCCTGCTACATTCGCCTACCTCCGCCTGTTGTTGAATCAGTGTAAGTTCAGATGCTATTACTTTATTGTTAGATTATATGAAGACCATAGTTTAACCCTGAAATATATTATTATATGAACCGAAAGGAGGAAATAGTAAAATTTTCTGGTGAATTTATTATTATAGCAAAACTAAAGGATCATGAAGAACGTAAATTTCTTTGATTTGTTTCCAAATACTAGTTTTATCAGCATTGTATTTGGTGGAAAAAATATTTATATTCAAATGCTCATATTAACTGCAGGACGAAACAGAAAACTTTTTGGATAAGACAGTGAAGTAACAGTTCAAATTGGAAGGGGAATATATATATATATATATATATATATATATATATATATATATATATATATATATATATATATATATATATATATATATATTGTTGGGGTTTACTCTTACTCTACTCTCGGGTGAGCAACAGATATGTTCAATGTCACTCACCGTAGCCCTGCGGGTCTTCACTCTATCCTTGCGGCGCCACTGCACGCCAGGAGAGTATCCCAGTCAATCCCAACCGGCCTCTGATTGAGAAGGAGTGGGAACACAACTCGTTCACTTAACTGTTATGTGCCCACCCCAACAATAGGGCTTTACTATTAACCACAAGGTCGCCAACTGGTGTTTTCGGTGTCCAGTAACACGTCAGTGGACTGGTTGAATTGTGGTATCCTTGGCAAGGTCACACTCAATAGATCAGGATATCAGGCAGGTACTTACTTTTATCACTCTTTGCTTTCAAGTATAATATAGCCACAAGATAAATGGAGGGGATGATATAAACACAAATATATTTTGTATTTTACTTAAAACTCATTGAAAGATGTCACAAGGTCATATCAATAATTAATCAGCTGATCCAGGCGGGAGTCGGTCGTTCCCACGTATATTATGCACTCACTACGGTGGCAACACTCCCCCTCTCGTCAATGTCACAATCAGCTGAGCGCCCCCTTCCGCGCGAAAGTTTATTGCTTGTTTCTCTAGCGGCACACGCGCTGTTTCTTTAAGTTCTCAAAGATCACTAGAAGTTCGCACACTCGATATTTGCAACAATAGCACGTATTACTTTGCTACGCTGTTCTCGGGCTCAAACAATCGTGTCTATAATAAATGCGTCAATAATTCACTGTAATGGTTTTACACACTGCCCTTCATTTCAATGGTAACTTATGAAGTATTTAACACTGGAGTTCTCAGTACTTCCTTTCGTGGGCGATAACACAATAAATCACTGCACTCACAAATGGTTATTCAATGCACGAACATAGACATATATAATATAGATAAATCAGGCATTAATAAATGGTAAATAAATAGTTACTGGGCACATGGCCTAACTTCCAAATACTGGCATAATATTATATATATAATTTATCACTATATGTTCACATCAAAGTCTCCTGAAAGACATTCTCAACACAGTAAATTCATCACTTAATCCGAGTGCCTGTTCACACCAATAATAATATATACAAGTATCGTGAGTACTCTTGATAGTACTATTCTGCACACTGGTGCCTTACTGTGACATAGGTGAGCCTTGCTCATGACATACAAAATCCTCAGGCTAAATAATATAGCTGAATAATATAGCTGACTAAAGGGGAATGGGGAGGGAAACTATAACCACCTACTTCCACCTATCCTCTGATGAGAGTTGAGTTGTAGCTCCTGGTCCTGGCTCCTGCCTTGTGTCGGGAAAGCCCCCACACACACGTTGTCGTGTCCTCCAGGAACTCAATCGCTGTCCCACCGTTTAGCGCGTCGTCTCCGTGCCTTCTTCCCAGCAGGTCCGTGCTCCTCCTCGACTTCTTGTAGGGTTGGAGTCGGTCTCCTGGCCGTCGACTTCTCCCAGCTACGGCTACCACCTACTTCTCAGCTGCAGTCGTCCGGATTCCCAAATAGTCCTCTTCTTCCTCTGCTACCCAGTGGCTCTGGTCAGCCACTACGCCATCACGAATGGGTGAACTGCCTCAGACGTCGCCTACGTCACTGCAGTCTTCACTTCTTCTTGCACAGTACCTGTCCTGAAGCACTTGTTGCTCAATATCCGTCGATTCCCTCTCTGGTTCAACACATGAACTAAGGAAGACCTCACAGAGTACTGGCAGACTTCAGGTGACGCGTAAAATCCACGGGAGCGGGAAACAACTGTCAAACTGACAGGACCAATCGTCGCACGTCCAACCTCCTTGACGTGTCGTGTCTGACTGATGGCGCCAACGCGGCGCGCTGCCCGGACCCCCCTTCCTTCGTGACGTCACTTTCGCCACGGGAGGTTTTCATTGGCTCCCTGTGCCACATTGCTGTCGGTGACCAATCCGGTGTCACTGACGTCACACAGTTTTGGCGGGGAAACAGGAGAGCCAGCGCCATCTTGGCTTCCTAAAGGGCCTAAACCACAGGCCAAAATATTATTGTTTCACAAATTTCTCGGCTCTCCGAGAACACTCCTTCCTCCCACATATATCAAATTGATGCCTGCGACGTAGAGAACGCTTGGGTAAAGTGGACATGACTCTTACTGCAGGCATGGGAGAAATATAAGGGGAGGAACACCGTCATAGTATATATATATATATATATATATATATATATATATATATATATATATATATATATATATATATATATATATATATATAAATAATAGAGGTAGTAGGAGAGGAAAAGATTAAAATATTCATTGAGAATCCACAAGGTCTTCTCTGAACACTATTTATTTTCTTCTTCGAGGATGTGGGTCCCTTTAATTAAACCAGTGGTGGTACCCCTAATATATATATATATATATATATATATATATATATATATATATATATATATATATATATATATATATATATATATATGCGGAAAATCCACAGAGAAATATGAAATGAGGTTGTGCAATTGACGATCACAAAACACTGAGTCAGTCTGGTGTTGACAAAGGCTTTAACAAAGCCGAAACGTTCACCTCATTTCATATTTCTCTGTGGATTTTCCGCATAAAATGATCAGTGTTTTGTGATCGTCAATTGCATATATATATATATATATATATATATATATATATATATATATATATATATATATATATATATATATATCTGCGAACAAGCCTGAATGGTCCCCAGGACAATATGCAACTGAAAACTCACACCCCAGAAGTGACTCGAACCCATACTCCCAGATGCCACGCAACTGGTATGTACAAGACGCCTTAATCCACTTGACCATCACGACCGGACATAATGAGGTGATAGCCGAGGCTATTTGAACCACCCCACCGCCGGCACTCGGATAGTAATCTTGGGCATAGCATTTTACCAAATCACCTCATTCTTTGGGGCACACGTGAGGAACACAAATGCGAACAAGCCTGAATGGTCCCCAGGACAATATGCAACTGAAAACTCACACCCCAGAAGTGACTCGAACCCATACTCCCAGATGCCACGCAACTGGTATGTACAAGACGCCTTAATCCACTTGACCATCACGACCGGACATAATGAGGTGATAGCCGAGGCTATTTGAACCACCCCACCGCCGGCACTCGGATAGTAATCTTGGGCATAGCATTTTACCAAATCACCTCATTCTTTGGGGCACACGTGAGGAACACAAATGCGAACAAGCCTGAATGGTCCCCAGGACAATATGCAACTGAAAACTCACACCCCAGAAGTGACTCGAACCCATACTCCCAGATGCCACGCAACTGGTATGTACAAGACGCCTTAATCCACTTGACCATCACGACCGGACATAATGAGGTGATAGCCGAGGCTATTTGAACCACCCCACCGCCGGCACTCGGATAGTAATCTTGGGCATAGCATTTTACCAAATCACCTCATTCTTTGGGGCACACGTGAGGAACACAAATGCGAACAAGCCTGAATGGTCCCGAGGACAATATGCAACTGAAAACTCACACCCCAGAAGTGACTCGAACCCATACTCCCAGATGCCACGCAACTGGTATGTACAAGTATGTACTGTACAAGTATGTACTGGATTAAGGCGTCTTGTACATACCAGTTGCGTGGCATCTGGGAGTATGGGTTCGAGTCACTTCTGGGGTGTGAGTTTTCAGTTGCATATTGTCCTGGGGACCATTCAGGCTTGTTCGCATTTGTGTTCCTCACGTGTGCCCCAAAGAATGAGGTGATTTGGTAAAATGCTATGCCCAAGATTACTATCCGAGTGCCGGCGGTGGGGTGGTTCAAATAGCCTCGGCTATCACCTCATTATGTCCGGTCGTGATGGTCAAGTGGATTAAGGCGTCTTGTACATACCAGTTGCGTGGCATCTGGGAGTATGGGTTCGAGTCACTTCTGGGGTGTGAGTTTTCAGTTGCATATTGTCCTGGGGACCATTCAGGCTTGTTCGCATTTGTGTTCCTCACGTGTGCCCCAAAGAATGAGGTGATTTGGTAAAATGCTATGCCCAAGATTACTATCCGAGTGCCGGCGGTGGGGTGGTTCAAATAGCCTCGGCTATCACCTCATTATGTCCGGTCGTGATGGTCAAGTGGATTAAGGCGTCTTGTACATACCAGTTGCGTGGCATCTGGGAGTATGGGTTCGAGTCACTTCTGGGGTGTGAGTTTTCAGTTGCATATTGTCCTGGGGACCATTCAGGCTTGTTCGCATTTGTGTTCCTCACGTGTGCCCCAAAGAATGAGGTGATTTGGTAAAATGCTATGCCCAAGATTACTATCCGAGTGCCGGCGGTGGGGTGGTTCAAATAGCCTCGGCTATCACCTCATTATGTCCGGTCGTGATGGTCAAGTGGATTAAGGCGTCTTGTACATACCAGTTGCGTGGCATCTGGGAGTATGGGTTCGAGTCACTTCTGGGGTGTGAGTTTTCAGATATATATATATATATATATATATATATATATATATATATATATATATATATATATATATGTATGTATATATATATATATATATGCAAACAAGCCTGAATGGTCCCCAGGACTATATGCGACTGAAAACTCATT